GACGTAGCAGCTCTGCCTAATATGTAGAAACAAACACAAGGAGGCAGCCAAAATGGGGAGACAAAGAAACATTTCCCAAATTAAAAAACAAAACAAAACAAAGCTCCAGTAAAAGAACTAAACAAAATGGATACAAGCAATCTACCAGATGCAGAGTTGAAAACACTGGTTATAAGGATCCTCAATGATCTCGGGGGAACTTCAACAAAGAGATAGGAAACATAAAAATGGAGATTAAAAAAACCCATAAAGGGCCGGCCAAGTGGCACACTGGTTAGGAATTGGCTTGGGATGCCAGCTCTGAGCAGCAGGGCCCTGGTTCTGATCCCACATGAGGGCCAGTGACGCTGCGCCCTCTACAGCTAAGATGGTGAACAACAGCTCGACCTGAAGGTGGGCTGCCGTGAGTTGCTGGCAATGGCATAGGCTGCAGTGGGGCTGGCCGGCAGCAGGCGTGAGCTTTCGTGAGTTGCCGTGAGCCACCATGAGCGGCTGTCAAATGGCCAGTGAGTGACTGCCTCAGCCAGGAAGAGTGCAATGATTATAATACCAACGTGGGCCAGTGAAGCAACGTCCTCCACAACTAGACTGAAGAACAAAAGGACAGCAACTTGTCTGTTCCCCTTCCCTGATTCCCCAATAAAATCTTAAACAAAATAAAACATAAAAAAGAACCAGTCAGAAATAAAGACTACAATAACTGAAATGAAGATCACATTACAGGGAATCAATAGTAGATTAGCTGAAGCAGAGGATCAAATCAGCGATTTAGAAGATAAAAAAACCATTCAATCAGAACAATATAAACACTCAATCAGAACAGCAAAAAAAAAAAAAAAAAAGAGTCCAGAAAAAATGAGGAGAGTTTAAGGGGCCTCTGGGGCAACATCAAGCACACCAGCATTCACTTCAGAGGGATGCCAGAAGGAGAAGTGAGAAGGCAAGGAATTGAAGACCTATTTGAAGAAATAATGACAGAAAACTCCCTTAACCTGGTGAAGAAAATACATATATAAGCCCGGAAAGCACAAAGAGTCCCAAACAAGATGAACCCAAAGAGGCCCACACCAAGACACATCATAATTAAAATGACAAAGGTTAAAGACAAAGAAAGAATCTTAAAAGCAGTGAAAAAAAGCAGTTAGTTACCTACAAGGAAGCTCCTATAAGACTGTGAGCTGAATTCTCAACAGAAGCTCTGCAGGCCAGAGGGATTGGCAAGAAATCAAAGTAATGAAAAGCAAGGACCTATAACTAAGATTACTCTACCCAGCAAAGCTATCATTCAGAATCAAAGGACAGATAAAGAGCTTCCCAGACAAGAAAAAGCTAACAGAATTCATCACCACCAAACAAATATTACAAGGAATGTTAGAGGCCCTTCTTTAAAGACCAAATAAATAAATAAATAAATAAATAAATGGATAAAAATGTTGAATACTAAAATGGCAATAACTACATATCTATCAACAATTGCTTTAAATGTAAATGGATTAAATGCTCCAATCAAAAGATAGGGCACCTGTATGGATATGAAAACAAGACCCTTTCATATGCTGCCTACAAGAGACTCACTTCAGATCAAAAGACATACACAGACTGAAAGTAAAGGGAAGGGAAAGATATTTTATGAAAACGAAAACAAACAGACAAAAATCTGGCGTAGCAATACTTATACCAGATAAAATAGACTTTAAAACAAAGGCTATAACAAGAGACAAGAAGGACCCTGTAATCCCATTTCTGGGTATTTGTCTGAAGAAACCCAAAACGCTACTTCGAGGAGACAAGTGCATCCATATGTTCATTAAAGGATTGTTTACAATGGCCAAGATGTGGAGGCAGCCTGGGTGTCTGTTGATGGAAGAATGGATAAAGAGGCGGTGGTACATATATACAATGGAATACTGCTTGGTCATGGGAGGGAATGGGTTCTTGCCACCTGTAGTGGCCTTGATGGACCTGGAGGGTATTATGCTGACTGAAGTATGTCACACAGAGAAAGACAGATGCAATGTGATTTCACTTATATGCAGAATCTAAAGAACAAAACAAACTAGCAAAAAAACCAGAAACAAACTCATAGATACAGAGAACATTTTCATGGTTGCTAGACAGGAGGAAGGTTGGGAATGTGTGAAAAAGAGGAAGGGATTAAGAAGGACAAATTGGTTGTTACATAATAGTCACAAGGATGCTATGCAAAGCATAGAGTATATAGTCAATAATATGGTAATAACTATGTATAGTGCCAGGTGGGTACTAGTCAGGGGGATCACTTCTTAAATTATATAAATGTCTAACCACTGTGCTGTACACCTAAAATTAATATAAAATAATACTGAATGTCAACTGTAATTGAAAAAATAAAAAAGGAAGGGAAATGTGGAGGGGAGTAATAGTCTAAATTTCCAGGTATAAAACAAATAAGTCATGGGGATGTAATGTATACCATAGGAAATATAGTCAATAATATTGTGATAGCGTGGCGTGGTGTCAGATGGTTGCTGAGCTTATCATGGTGATCACTTATTTAGGTATATAGATGTTGAATAACTATGGTGTACACCTGAAACTAATATAATATTGTATGTTAGCTATATTTTAATAAAAATCTTAAAAAAGAAATACTTGTTGAATGAATAAATTACTCCAGTATTCATGCTTTTAGCTTTTATTCTCTGTGAACTCTTTACATTACAGTGTTTACAGTACTTATGGATTATACCATATAACTTGGCCACTAGGTTTTATGTCTTATACTGTTAGCTATTATTTTATTCACATTCAGATTCAACCTATGTGTGTGTATTTTAAACCCTGATTCACATGAACTAGTCTTGTCCTTCCCGCTAGAGTGTGGTCAGTCTGCATTTCTTGTTTCATCCAGCAGAGGATTGATCACAAATAGTTGTTCAGTGAACAAATACTCTTGTGATTCAGAGTGAGGTGGGTAATGTTGAGTGCACTTTTTTTGGTCTGCTTTGTCAAACCCTATTCAGAAAATATTTCAAGTCCAGAATCAAAGTTTTCAGGTTTTTCCACATCTCCTGACAACTCAGCTGTCTGGTTTTACCCAGCCCAAGTCCTGAGCTCATTGGTATTTCCAGGAGGTCCTAGGCTTGTAGCCCACCCAGGCTGGAAATAATCAGAAACCACAAGGTGTTCAAAACAAATTAACCTCTTCTTGAGAGTATTTTATGCCTGATTTAAATGAAGAACTAAAAGAACCCTTAAATTGGGAGAGTTATGGGAAAATGCTGGGTAGTTGGCCAATATATTTTGTGTGTGGAACATTTTCTTGAATTTTAGTATTTGAAGAGCTCTTTGGAAATTATCCCCAGAAAGTGAAAGTATTCCTCTGATAATGTATCAGGCTGCATATAATGTAGGCAAATTGGGCTGCCGTAAAACAGGCAGACAGACAGACAGACAGACAGACACACACACACACACACACACACACCACACACACACACAAACACACAGAGAAAAGAGCTGATAAACACAAACACATTTGCTTACAAGGAGTTTTAAATTTTCACAAATTTATTGTTATCTACCTGCCTCATTTCAGGGAGGATTAAAATTGTTGATAAACATGAGGTGTGATCAAACAATATGATGAGTTGTTTACATTAAAAAAAATTATTACAATAAAAGACACATTGCCATTAATCCCCCTCAAAATACTCCCCCTCGCTTCGAGCACACTTATCCCATTGTTCTTGCCGTTTTCTGAAGCAGCTCTGGAAGTCCTCTTTCATGAGTGTCTTTAGTTGCGTTGTTGTGGCTGCCTCAATGCCCCGAATCATTTTGACTTGGGGAAAGAGCCAGAAGTCACACAGTGCCAGATCTGGTGAATAAGGTGGGTGAGGACAACCCATAGTGTTTTTATTTGACAGTAACTGCCATACCAGAAGTGATGTGTGACACGGAGCCTTTCTGATGTGATCACAAAATACAGTGAATGCTGCTGCTGAGTGCCATCCAATGGAAAGGCAGGGATCTTCAATATGGAAGAGGCGCATTGAACCTTAGTAACAGTGTGTGACAGGTTTCAACTTGTTCAGTGCAGTCAGTCAGGTGTGAGCTATGGTTGAGAGAAGGTGTGTTTTAAAGTGTGCCCTAAATTATCATCCATCATGACAACACTCCGTGTCACACATCACTGCTGGTATACAGCAGTTTCTGTCAAATAAAAACATTACAGCATGTCCTTACCCACCTTATTCACCACATCTGGCACCGAGTGACTTCTGGCTCTTCCCCAAAGTCGAAATGATTCTAGACATTGAGGCAGCCACAATAGTGCAACTAAAGACACTCATGAAAGAGGACTTCCAGAACTGCTTCAGAAAGTGGCAAGGACGATGGATAAGCGTGTTTGAAGCGAGGGGGAGTGTTTTGAGGGGGATTAATGGCAACGTATCTTTTACTGTAATAATTTTTTTTATTTAAACATTCACTGCATTGTTTGATCACACCTTGTATATACAATATCCAAATTAGTATAAAAAAATGGAAGTAAAAGAAAAAAAAGATAGAGGTAACATAAAATGGAAGTTAAAAAGTTTATTCCTTATTAAATTACATACATATTTTACGGGTGGATCATAAATTTGCTTGTAAACTTTCTTGCCACCAATACCAAAACATTATTCAGTTTCAAGATCTGAATGAATAACAAGCTAGTATTTCTGTCACTGATACATAAGCTAAATAAGCAAACACACTGTATTCAGAGAAGAATAATAAACTCATTACAACAAATTTCTAAAACACATATGATAATATTTTGAGTACTTAAAATGGTCAATGTTCCCTTTCTTCTCCTTTTGCAATAGTCCTAGGAGAAAAATCTTGCATTAAAAAATCTTTAAGCAGAACATACTCTAATTCTTGGAGCATTTCCGTCTTCTTTTGCTAATTGTGAATGACAGTGAGTAGGTGGTCCAGACAAAAGGTAAAGAAATAAAAACTATTGGAAAAACACTTACGTGTCATCTGTAAATGTGATTCCAAAGTACTCCTTTTCTTTCAGGTTAAAATGTGAAGCCACGAGATCCAGCAACTCTCTTGACAGAAGTTTGGGCTGTCAAGATATTTATCTGATTAGAAACAATTTGGTTGCCTCTTTCTTATATGCTGCCACCTTCCTTTGCTCCATATAGTTTAAAGCAGCTTTTGTTTACTTTTAAATACCTGCCCCTTCTTGCTGCATAGGTTGGTTAATCTACTATAGACGATTCTCTAAGAGATTGGGAAGGAGAGGAAATTAGGAATAAGAACATGAATGAATCATCATTTTCATGTATTTGTAGTTAGTCTAGTACCTTACTTTTTCCCTCTAAGATAAAACTGTGTTTACTCACGCATTTGTATTTTGGAAAAATACTCTTTTATATGTAACATGGTGCTAGTGGCCAAGACAAAGAATATTAAATATCTCACTGTCAGGACTGTAGGAATAGCTTTGCCTGGTGGGAGCCTTTTGAAGAAGATAAAGACCCAATGTTATGGGGGAGGGGCGTGGATGGTAACAGATAGAACTAAGAACAACCGTAAACATATATCGTGCTGAACTCCTTTTATCTGTTACCTCATTTCATCCCTATAATGAACCTATGAGGTTGGGGTTTTTATTTCCATTTTACAGATGAGCCAACCAAGCCCAAGAGAAGTTCAGCACTTTGTTTGATGTTACAGTTAGGAAGATCAGGGATTTGAATCCAGTTCTGTCTGATTCCAAAGCCTAAGCTTTTCATTTCTCTCGAGGGAGTAATTGTACCCACTGTATAGGTCATCATCACTAGTACTTACTGAGCACCTAGTTATAAGAAGCATCTAATTTATGAGCTTTTAGGAAGCACTGGACCTGGTGGGAAGAAGCATGGTTTATTACCAGCCACCATGGCTGTAGTGACAGCGGATGCAGGATGTGCAGGGATTGGGGAAAGAAAGGGGGATTTGCAGGAGCACATTCTAGATGGATTCTTTTCAAACTTTGAGCCGAACAATTTAGAGTTCATTATGATGTTTTGAGGGTTCAATGTCTGCTGTTGGGGAAGAAAGAATAGTTATGATGAAAGGGAGGAAGGGAGGAAGGGAGGAAGGCTGGGAAGGAAGGAAGAAAGAGAGAGGAAGGAAGGAGACAGGGAGGGAGGAAAAGAAGGAAGGTAGAAAGGAGGAAAGAAGAAAGAAAGAAAGAAAGAAAGAGAGAGAGAGAAAGAAAGAAAGAAAGAAAGAAAGAAAGAAAGAAAGAAAGAAAGAAAGAAAGAAAGAAAGAAAGAAAGAAAAGAAAGAAAGAGGAAGAAAGGAAGAAAGGAAGAAAAGAGAAGGAAAAAAAGAAAAAAAAGAAAAAAGAAAAACAGGCAGACATCTAGACTAAAATGTCTACTCTGGTGAAACTATTGTTGGCTGTACTATTTTCATTCTAATTGAAGCCTATGCATAAAAGGCTAGGGACAAGCCTCAGAAGGGAGAAATAATTAGGTTTGGTCAAAGGAGAGAGTTCTAGCCATAGCTGTAGGTGTGGCTGTTAGCGGGGACTTCCACAAGTTTTAAGACTCGTAGTCTGAAGTGTTCGGTAAATAGAGAGACAAGCATCAATGATTAAAATATCATCACTCATATAGTTCCATATATTTTACAGAGATTTCATTTCCATATATAATCTAACTTGATTTTAACCATAATTTTGTGAGAATGACTAGGCTATCTTAATCCCAGTTCACAGTTGATGAAATAGGGTATTTAACTTGGACCATGTCATGTAGCAGGAAAGCAGGGTGCAGATTTTCAGTTCACAATCACCCTTTCTGGGAAGCATTATGTTCCCCAATTTATCAACAAGAGGTTCAGAGAAGTAAAGTCATGTGCCAAGGGTCACTCAGCTACTGAATGCCAAAGCGAGATTGGAATACATGTCACCAAGCTATAGTTACTCTTACATACGGACCAGGTTTTTTTACTTCAAAGCTACCTTTTCTCCCTCAGTCAGCTCTGAGTCATTAGCTCTGCAGCACAGATAAGCAAGCGGCCTGAAGACAGGCTATGGGGCTTACAGAGGGAGCCTGTGTGGGCAGCACCTACCTGAACCAGCAGCTCCAGTTTCCTATCATCCAGGAGGTGCACCTGGCAGTGCCTGCCTTCTGTCATCTGTGGGGACAAGACAGCAAGAGTGGTGTCAGAGCCAGGGCTGACAGGAAAATCCGTGAAAGCGATTTATCATTATTTCACATGTGATGTGCTCAGAATAAAAATGGCTTCACCTGAGTTAATCAACAGGCTTGGTCATAAACAGATTTATTATATGGCATTAGCTCTTGGTTTTATTTTATTTTATTTATTTTTAAAAAAGATTTTATTGGGGAATTGGGGGGAGGAAACAGTGTTGGGGAATCGGGGAAGGGGAACAGACAAGTTGCTGTCCTTTTGTTCTTCAGTCTAATTGTAGAGTACGCCACTTCACTGGTCCATGTTGGTATTATGATCATTGCGCTCTTCGAGGCTGAGCAGTCGGTCGCCAGCCTTTGGATGGCCGCTCACGGCAGCTCACGGCAGCTCACGGTAGCTCACAGCAGCCCACTGCAGGACCACTGCAGCCTATGCTGCTGCCTGCAACTCATGGCAGCCCAGCTCCAGGTCGAGCTGTTGTTCACCATCTTAGCTGTAGAGGGCGCAGCGTCACTGGCTCATGTGGGAGCCAAACAGGTGGTCCTGTCGCTCAGAGCTCGTGCTCCCAAGCCAACTCTTAACCAACTGAGCCACTCGGCCGGCCCGGTTTTATTTTTTAATGAAAACTTTTTTTTAGCTCTTGGATTTAAAAGAAGAAAAAGACAAAAAGCAGAGATGACTCAATATATTGTAAGAATAATACCTATACAGTGCACACAAGATTATACTATGAAATGTAGTTTTCCTTCCCAGAAGAATCTACTATGTTTTTCCTTGAATCAATATTTTATTTTTCAAATGAAAATGCCTTTATTCATTGGTGTGTTTTAATAAATACAACATATGCATAGTTATAAGAAGAAAAACATAAGATTTAAAAGTTAAAATTCATGGTCTCCATTTTTAAAACTTCTGCCCCCCTTTATAAGTATATCGGTACTATAATTAACAGTTAAGAACTGTTAAGATACACAGTTAAGAACAGTTTGATGTATACAATTTCCAATTATATTTCATTTTTATCATTTATAACTGAAATACTGGGAAATATTCTCTATAAAATATTTAAACAATGCATAGAATGCAAAGGTTTCCAAAGGATAGACTCTACAGGTGATGTCATTAGTATGGTAAAGCCATCAACTCATAATCACCGATGCTCCCATCAGTGACAATACAACAACCAAGAGAAGGTGCCATTTTGGGGGAGAGGTTCTGAACAAACACCTCACTGTGTGAAGTGATAAGATACATACAAGTTGAAGAAAGACAGTGCAGATAAACTGGGGAAAAATGCTACAGTTTTACGTCCACACTGGCCCATCTGTGCAGAGTATGCACCAAGCCCTCTCCTTTCTTTGAGGAGGGCTGATCTGATGATGGTCACCAGCAACAGAAAGGCTGGCCCTTGTCACTTACTTAAATTGAAGGTTGAAAGGTGGTGGATGTATTTTGTTCATCAAAACAATGCTTATGAATAAATGTCAACAATATTAGAAATAAGGAGATGCCACTTAATAAAAATCTAGATGGTAAGATCTGGAAACACTGGGCTGGATTTCCTTCATGGCAACATCTGGCCAGGGAGGGGCAGAGCAGCTCCCTCAAACTTGTTACCTGCCAGGTTCCTGGGAGTCCTGTGATGTGAGCAAGCAAACCCTGATTAAGTTTACGTGGTGCTCGGGAAGAGACACGACCAATACAAAGATGTTGTGCAGCAGGCAAGTGCTTCACACTTGACCCTCATTCATGTGGAGTATTTCAACCTCTACAGAGGCCTGTGAAGGGAGCATCTCATTTGAATCACCAGGAACCCGAGGCCTGAGAACTGATGTAACTTGCACAAGAGTTCTAATTCAGACTTGGGCTCAAAATCCTGTTTCATATCTTAGTAGCTGTGTTACCTTGGAGAAACTACTTAACCTTTCTGCGCCTCATAAGCGATGTCCTGAGAGCTTTTAAGCTGACACCTTCAAAGGAAAATAAACCACTTCTGAGGGCCACATTTGTTATTGTCCTAATTTGCTTGAAAATTAACAAACAGCCAAACCTTTCTGTAATCCATTTATACTCCCATTTTTAAAAAAACCCTTTTTCATGGGAAGACTAGTACTAGCTCATTGTAAAGAAGATAAGTGACAGGTAAAGTTAACAAGCCAGTTAACAAGCACACAGCACGAAAGTTCTCCAGAGCTGATGGAACAGAAGGAAAGGAACAGTGGGGCCCACTAGTTCCTGTGTGCTGGGCACCCAGCTGGGCATTTTAATACTAACAGTAATAACGCCACTAACGGGCACTTTGTATGTTCCAGGCACTGCACTAAGCACTTGACATGCATTAGTATATTCAACCACATGCTACTCACATGAGGCAGGTAGTCTTATCTCCTGAAACTACAGGTGAATGAGCTTAGAGAGATTATAAATAACAAGACTCCTAAATGGCAGAGCTGGACCCAAACCCAAAGCCCAGCTCTTGACCACTTAGCTGTGCACACAGTATGTCGTACACCTTAAAGTGCCGATTGTGGGAAAGCCTCCCACACGGCCCATTCTCAAGGGATTAGATGACAGCATAGAAAAGGGAAAGCAAAGTGTCACAAAGCAGGTGGAAAAAATCTTTTCTGTTCCAAGGAAATGCATTGACTAGAAGTAGTTGGAATTGTAGAATTTATAAATAGATTCTTGAAGGCATCTAATAACTGCTGCTTATTTGAGATAAGGGAAACTAAGGAACAGGCCTGCCCAAAGCGACACAGCTGGTTAATGGAACCCTGGGATTAAAACTCAGACGACCCTGACTTCCAGGCTGGAGCTTAAGTGGTGTGCACAAGGCTGCTCAGCTTATACAGAATGCCATCTTATTTAAATGCGCTTTTCCACATCAGGTTAATTTTTTTTAATTAAAAAAACTGTAACTACAAAAAGAAAACACCAAACTGGGAATCTCTTATTTATTTAAAAACATGACTCCCACTGATGCTTTATCTTCTAATTTCAACAACAGGAGTTATATTTGTAGTAAGCTATTCCTGGATTGCAATGATTATATCCATAAACAGAGAATCACTTTTTAAAAAAAATAACAAAACAACTAATTTTTTTTTTTTAGCTGAGCCATCCTGCCACCTGTTGGTAGCTCAGAGGCAGCACAGGTTGGGCCAGGAATCACACCGGCGATGCTCTTAAGCAAGCTCTTAAACAACTGAGCCACTCGGCCGGCTCCAACAACAACTAATTTTATTGAGCATATTCAATATATTTAATATGTAATACTCATTTAATGCACAAGGTAAATGTCTGTATTATCTTTATTTTACAATTGAGGCAACTGAGGCACAGAGAGGCCAAGTAACTTGCCCAAGGTCACATAGCTATTAAGAGGCAGAACTGGGATTCCAACTTAGACAGACTAGCTCCTGAGCCCATGTCCTTCACGTTCCCATTTTTCAATGTAATTATTACCCACAGAAGAAGTTAAATATATTGTCTTTTCTTTTCACATTCTATTTGATTATCGTGACAATTTGCTTTCTTTACAAAAACAGGAATTTTATAATTCCGCTTAGGAAAAGTGTAAGTAAATAAGCATTGCTCATTACAAATTGCCTTCTCTTAAGATTTAAGGTTTGTGTTTCCCTCTTTAGCTCCTCAGTTTCCTCGTCTCAGACAAAAACTCATTTGCCAAGTTAGGTTACAATATTTCATTTAAGGAGTTCCAAAGGCAGCACACATTTCTTTTCATAAGCAAACACAAGGACAGCGTGCACCAAGTCTGCTCTAGTCTGTGTGCGGAGCCCGTTACACAGAATCACTTCTGAACCCACAGAGATCATCGGAACAGTTTCAGATTTGACCCCTACCCAGTGACAGCTAATAGCAGCAATGCCTTGTGTGGAATTAAAAGCATATAAAACTGATGAATTTGGAAAGTTTCCCATGGCATCCACCCACATTATACCCTTTTCATCACCTCCTCCTCCATTCAACCCCAGGAATATGGAGGTTCAAATTGTGCGTGTTGGATTAAGGCGCCCACCTCAGCCTGTGGCTGCCCTGCGTTTGCTGCCTAGCTGAGAGAGCAGGTCCTCAGAGGCTAGGCGCTGAGTGCTGGTGGAAAAGCCTTGTTCATCTGGTCAGTGGTTAAATGAGGAAGATCAGAAGGGAAGTGAGAATCAGTCATGGGCAAGACAGCTGCTTCCTGGAGCACCCGGATGGGTAACCCATGGTGGGGTTCTGCCTGCAACTCCGACTCCCACTACCTGTCTTAGGAGATGAGAAAGGAGAGAGTGGATAAGAGACCCACAGGCAAGTCAGCACAGGGCAGTGTGAGACCATGCAAATGACTGGTGTTGGCCTAAAACGCAACAGGAAATACAACCACAGAAAAGCCCAGAACCCAGCCTGTTTTGGTTTTGCTTGTCGTTCTTTGAAACACAGAAATAAGAAAGCTTGGTAAGGAAACAGTAAGTTTCCCTTCCCCCCATCTCTCTCTCACTCCCTTTTGACCTTTTCTGACAGCTTAGCACCAGAGGGCCTGCCTCATAAAAATGACTTCTCAGGATTTTTTGTGGGGTGACTGACCAGAGTCTAATCGACCGTCGTCCCTTGCCTGGGTGTATGCAAAGTCAGCTATGTAACCAGGATCCTCGCCTCTAACTGAGTCCCATGATGGTCCCATCTCCACCTGGCCATGTGAGCCGCATCTCTACAATACAGATCACACCTCTGCGTCCCTGCTTAAAATTGCCCGATGGCTTCTTCTGCAACATAGTGGAGGATGCCCTTGCCTCGCCAATTATGTCCACCTTACCTGTCCCCACTGCAGCCTCTCTTTGTTTCCCACACATCTGCTTTGTCCTGACACACTGGCCACATGAGCACCCTTTCCCTCCACAAAATTAAAGCTGGTTTCTACTTTGAGACTTTGCATATGAGTTTCCCTCTGTCTAGAATGCCTTTCCTCCAGATCACTGCTTGAT